AACTCAAAGAAAGTGACATCCATAGTAAAACACCAAGTCCTTAACACCAGATCATAGCAACAATACCCCTTTTGATTTTGTGCATACCCAAGGAAATGCACTTCTTTACTTTATGATCCAATTTTGAATGGTGAGGACCAAGAATATGGAGAAAACATACACACCCAAAAACCCTTAAAGGAATATGAAACATCTCCCCCTTAGGAAAAAGGAGGCCATATGATACTATATACCTAAGAACATGAGAAGGTATCCAATTAATCAAGAAGGTTGTTGTGAGAATTGCATCAACCTAAAAACATATTGGAATTGAATAGTTCACCATAATACTTCTTGCCACTTCCACAATATGTATGTTCTTTCTTTCCACTACACTATTTTGTTGTGGAGTATACGAACAACTATTTTGATGAATCATTCCATACTCTAATAAATAAGATGCTATATCTTTTTCAAAGTATTCCCTAGCATTATCTGATTTTGAAAACCTTGATTTGCACTCCAAACTGCATAATCTAATGAAACCATCGTACCAAAGCGGGCACCTTATCACAAGATCTCATCAAGTATACCCATGAATATCGAGAATGATCATCTACAAATAAGAGAAAATAACATTATCCACCTATAGAAGAAACATGAAATGGTCCCCAAATATCAATATGAACAATACCAAAAGCTAAAGAACTTCTTTTATTACTTGTCTGAAAAGAATGTTTACAATGCTTTCCAAGTTGACAACCTTAACACTCTAAACTAGACAACTTAATAAACTCAAATTACTTTTGAAACAAAAATGTAAATAACCAAAAGAGAGATGCCCTAACTAATTATGTCAAAGCATAATCTGATCCACTGACTCTAACCCATTACTCTTATTGTTGACACGATGACTTTGGTAACTAGGAAGCACATCGAGAAAGTAGACTCCACTCACCTCACAACCACTCCCAATCATTCTTTTTGACTCCAAATCTTACAAAAACACAATGACTAGGAAGAAATATTACTAAACATTTCAAATTTTTAGTCAAACTGCTCACAGATAAAAGATTAATATGCAGTCTAGGAACATGTAGTACAAAAGGCAAGGTGATGGTACCAATTACTTTGACCGACCCCTTCTTAGTAAGGGGAAACTTGAATAAAAAAAAACAAAAAGATTTGTTTTCTGATATAATTTCAGAGAGAAAAGAAAAGTAAGATCAGTCCAGAACTGAAGAGAAGAAGAGAGAGAGAGAGAGAGAGAGAAAGGGTGCGGTTAGATCAGTCTGGCCGCCCCACTAATTCTTATTTATACTTGTAATTTAAACAAGGGTAGAATTCCTCTAATACCCTTACTAACTTCATAAGAAAACAAAACAAATAAATAATGACCTAACTACCATAACTGTCATGAAATAGCATAAGGAAATAAACAAAAATAAAGTGTGGGACCACACACTAACAACTATCTCTACCAAAACACGATATGAAGAAAAAATGGTGGAAATGTTTGTTATATGTTCAGAGGCTCCTGACTCTATAATCTAGGGAGGTCCCCCTTACCTGTAGTGGAGACATAATTTGCAATAGCATATGAACTACTGTATGAGCAAGTGAAGAAGTATGACCAGCTAAGCTACTTGCACCTTGTTGTCCACCCAGTGAAAAACTGGAGCTAGTTGTATCTCCCTGATTCACATAATACCCGTATCTCTCCAATTCATCCTTGACTACTACTACAATGGACTCTAAGGAGGCTGGTGTAAGAGATCTACATGAGTCACCAGCCACTGGCATATTAGCATTCCCCTTCTTATTTCTAAGTTGAACTGTATAAGAAGTGGATGAAGCTTCTAACAAGTGCCTCTAGTATGCTTAGGCTTCTTACAATAGTCACAGATCAAGTCCTTGTCCTCTTTATTTTCACTACCACCCTTATCCCCACCAGGCTTAGGTTTTATAGTGCTAATAATAGTCGACTGTTCAATGCTTAGATTCTTCACCATAACATTCTTCCTACTCTCCTCTCCAAACACAAAAGCATATACCTAAAGAGACTTACACTATCACAAGAAAGAATATGTTGGCGTGCAATTCATATTCAGGATTAACTCTTACTAAGAACTCAAACACCTTGTTCTTTTCTACTAGCTTCTAGTAAGTTGCAACATCCTTAGTACTCTCCCAAGCCATAGTCTCCAAATGGTCAGATCTCCTACCACAAGATTTTAAGGACTGAAAAATAGACTACAATATTTCCCCACCTTGTGCCAATTACGTGATCTCTTAACTAATAAGCTATAGCAATATTCTCACTCTATGAGTAGGTTTCTGCAACTCCACACCACTTACCATCAGCTCATCTGAAATCCCAAGTTCAGTTGACATAGACTCAAGTATGCCCCTTGCTCCCACTAATGTTTCTGTTCCAATTGATGTTACACCTATGCCTAACACTAATGCATATGACCTAGACCATTCTATTGCACTCTGAAAGGGGAAGAGAAAGTGCACAACCCATTATATTTCACATCATCTTTCCTATAGTGGCTTATCTCCCTCATATTGTGCATTCCTTTCTTCTCTTGATTCTATGTCTATACCCAAGAATGTTAGTGAGGCCCACCAAATAATCTTTACCATCCAATTTAACAGTAGTGATGGTATTGGCCCCAAAAGGATCACTAGCACTATCTACACCTAGTCCCAAATCATCGGTAGATTTGTGTTCTCCACTACCTTCCAAAGTTTCCAAAACAACTTAAAACTCCAATTGTAAACAATAAAACACCTCTAGAAACTGATTGATCCCCTTTGGAAACCTCACAAAAGCTTCTGACAAGTGACAACAAAACACCCTTACTCGGAGAGATTTTTATCTTCCCAAGAATTGAGAGAACCGAAAGAAGAAGCTACCGATCTCTCCAAAGACCCCAGAAAGTTCTGAAAATTGAATCACCCCCTATAGAAAACTTCAAGAAATCCAAAGAAAGAAAAAAGCTAAATGCTTCTTACTAAATCAAAAACAAAGAATCCTACTACAATCTAGATTATTTCTCCTTCTCCAATTCTTCTTGATTTCAATGATCAACCCAAGATCAAATACATAGGGTTCTAGACCCACCAAAAATCCAAGAAATGGGCCCTTTTGAAGTCTACAATCAGCTCTCTATCTCACCATGCAATCAGCTGATCTAGGGCTGCATGGGAGAATCCCAAGAATCCTTGGAAAAAGGCTTTGATACCAAGTAGAAAACTCAGAAAAAGATTTGTAACATAATTAAAGGAAAAAGAAGAAAGGTTTCTTGGAGAAAAGAGAAGAAAAGAATGAGAAGGACTGGGAGAAGCCAGTGATCAGTCTGGTCGTCCCACTCATTAGCTTTTATATTCACTAATTAAAAAGAGATACAATGTCTAATATGCCCTTAATAGGGCGGCTGCTGTCAATAACATAAAGCTGCACTTAAAGAAACATTAAACTAATGGGCCTTGTCCAATAACATTAATTTAAAAAATAAAACATAAAATACTAAAACCTCAACAGAAAACATTCTAACAGCCTACCAACAAAAGATAAAAATAAAGTAACATAGCAAGCCAATTTATGCAAGAAATTCTTATTTGCTTTCGTTTCAGCTTTTAATTTATTTTGTTTGTTTGTAGTGTAGATTACGTGAAACATAACCTGAAGCAAAGTAGAATAAAACATTAAGCAAAAGTAAGCAAGAACTTGCATTCTTCTCATTTGCACTATCATGCATTTGTATGAGTGCAAATGGAATTGCACTACAAACAAACAGATCCTAAGGTATTCTCCATGTATCAAAGAAATAAGATTGAATTATCCTAATAGCATTTACCAAGTTCCTTTTGAACTTCAAGATTTACAGGTACTGGAACAGTTGACAGTAAATGCTTATCAAATCAAACAAAATAGAAACAAGTTACAAGATATAATAAGAGGTTTTCAGTTCAAACCTTTTGGGGCTCTGCTCCTGCATTATGTCAGATGCTATTTCAGAAATATACTGTTCCCAATCCATGGGCAGTATTACTTGATTATTTGTGAAAGGGTACCTATAGCCAAATTAAAAGTAACCAAAAAGAATTTAGTTATCAAGAAACCTGGGATGCAAAAGAAAAAGAAAAAGAAAACAGTATGAAGCTTCTAATAATAGAAGAGCAGTGCTACAAAGCTCACTGTTGGACTCGACAAGTCTCAAACGACAGGATCGCCCTCCTCAAACTCCGGTTTGATTGAGCAGCTATGCGGGCTGCAAAACCAGGTGGAAGTTGTAGCCCTTCCTTTTTGCCAATAAACTCCAATACACTAATAATCTGGCACAAAGTGAAACATCAGTTGTTCCCTAGAGAAAGTTACAAAATGTTACAGAAAATGTCCATCTGTCAATAGGTGCCTGAACACAGCATTATTTTTAATTACATGATGAAAACAATTTAATTAATCCGGAGATTTTACCATTAAACCAGCTGTTATTAAGGAGGATTAGGACGCAAGAAGGAAGATGGAGGCAAAGAAGCAAGATGGAAAGGGGTCCTCCGTTTCAGTGAGAAGATGGAGAAATGAGACCACAATTGAGGTGAAGAAGCTAGTTTTAGAATTAGGAAAAAGCAAAAGCCAATTAGTTCTGAAACTAAGAGAAGAGAAAAGAGCAACTATTTTCTTAATAGGAGAAGCTACTCAGTGGTTAAAAGGGTTCGTCGATGGAGCACTATTTTCAGTGAACAATGATGGATGGAAGAGTTCTTTGGAACTTCCAAGACGATATCAGGTGGTATTGAAATCCAATCAGAAGGGATGGTTTGTGGCTGTGACTGAGGCTTTTGGCTACAATAGAAAACAAATGGTTTGTCTTCCAGAAGGAAAACAGGGATTGGGTTGGAGATTGTTAGCTTAGAAGCTTCAAGAATTTCTGTCGGTGAAAGCTGTTGATCTGACCGAAGGCAAACAAGAACAATAAAAAAGAATCCCTAGAAAAGTTGTTTGACAGTGTCAAGCCCCAAGATGATGCTCAAATAAGTATGCGAGAAAAAAGATGAGAAGTGATACCTGGTTGTTAACATTAGCAAAGTTCAGAGGTTGGTTCTGTACAAAGACAGAGGAGATTGGGAACATAAACTAATAAAAAGGCTGGTAGGAAGGTGTCTGATTGGAATCTTGGATGCAGTCATGAAAAAACTCCTAGTGCTGGGGTCTCTGTTTTCCCTTTTGACGATAGAAAAGCCATTTGGATACCGGAGAGAGGACTGTGAACTTCAGAATGGTAGAAATGGAGTTGGGGTGGTTTTGATTGAAACTGGTCTTTATCTTGCAATAGTAAGGATCTCAATACTGGACCTTTTGATCTGAAACTGATTGGGTTCCCACTTATATTGTGGGAAAAAAGATTCTATCGAGAGAATTGATACAGCTTTAGGAGGGTGTTCCATTAGAGATCAAATTTGATAACCTCCATGCGGTGAGGATTAAAATCACAGGGGTGAAGATTGAAATTGTCCCCCGATCAATTGATATCTTAGTTGAATTGTCACTCAAATTTTTTTTGAAAGAAACATTGGATGTGTTGATCCTACTTTGTTCGCTGAAATGGTCAAAAGGAAGTCTATCACAGACCCTGGGGGCAGTCCATTTGAAATTGCAGGGTAACAGAAACTTGGGCCCATTCACTTCAGATCCTTTGGGAGGTTTATCAGGTTGAGTTGTGGACTTGACTAAAATTCCCTGCAAGTCCTTGCAGAATGGGCCTTGTTGTTAAGTGGTCACATGAGGCGTGACCTGAGCTCGACCAAGGACAATAACTCCCGTTAGACCTATTCACAGGCCGGACTTCTGGCCAGGCCCATTCAAATTTTGGTAAAAGCTAAGCCTGCCCGGCCCATGATCAGGTCTAGTTCCCGTATGCCTTCATCCCAAATCAATGGTAAGAGGCATCTAGAATCTATTTCTCATCTGAAGAGTTTGATGCAATCAATTTCAAGGAAGGGTCTTCTAATATTCCTTCTGAAGTAAAGCCAGATCGTCCAAACCCCAGGCATGTTAGGAACAGGTCCGAGGAGATGGAAGCCATTGATAATGAATGGATCGACTGTGATCAACCAGATGTTGATATCGATGACTCTGATTCTGAATCTGGATAAGACATTGGTTCATTGGTTGACAGTGTCTATTAGGGGGAAACTATTGTGGAAAACTCTAGACAATTTGAACATGAACACTCTGTTGAAGATGTTGAGGCTACAAAGAGATCCCATCTTCAATTCCAGAGGCAAATGGAAGGGACCCTAACTAGGTGTTTTGTATGTTGAGGTGGCTAAAGTGGGAAATCAAAGCCCAAATAAGGGGTTACTAGAACCAAATTTTCAACCTAGGCAGAGTGTCTATAAGGGATTGGTAGAGAGTCATTCTAAGCCAAGCAAAGAGACATCGGGCAGGGATAAGCAACAGATTTTGGGGAGTACACATAATGTTAATTCCATTTCGGAGAGATCTCCAGAAGAAATACCAGCTAGATAGAATAGTAAACCTCAAATCCTTGAACTAGAAAAGAATTTGACCAATCCAGAGTTGCCAGGCCCTCATTCTCCTCTGAATCCAGGTACTATTCTCAAGTTATTTTTGCCTACTAACCATTGCTCTATGCCTAAAGGTCTCTCTCTTGGTACCCAAGAAACTATCTTGCCGCAAGCCAAGTTGAATTTAGATGGAGAGAAGGTGGTTAATAATGGAAGGGTACTGTCTGTTGAAAAGGAGAAAAAGGGGAGGGGAATTTCGGAGTTGATAGAAAGATTCCTTGAGGAGTTGAAGAACAAAGAATTAGAGAAAGGGAACATTGATGGGGCGAAGGATATTGGTAATTTTGGCGAGGCTTCTTAAGCTCAATGTGGGGAAGGGTTTGGTGAGTCCGGTGTCAGAGAAGTGAGAGGGTGATAAACATTACGAATTTTGACATTGGTAATTTCAGCCCCACTAAAAATCGAGTCACATCAAGTTGTTCTGTTTGTCGTTGCTGAATTTTGACATCAGAAGTGAGGGTGATAAACATTCAACTCATTACGAATGTTTCTCATACTAGCATAGTACTCCTCAAGACTCTGATTGCCCTGTTGCAGATTAAAGTAACCCTGATACAACTGATATACTCTGGTTGTATTGTCTTGGCCAGAATACAACTTCTTAGCATGGTCCCACACATCTTTGGCAGTGTCAAGAAACATGAAATTTACACTAATCTTGGGTTCCATATTGTTCCATAACCACGTGATAATCTGTGCATCCTCTTGTTCCCAGACATCATACTCATGAGAATCAGTGGAGGGTTTTTCCCCCTTATGTGTTTCACCTTCTTCTTTGCCTTCAGAAAAACTTCTA